TATACTAATCAAATAAATAACATAAAACTTAATCTTTGATTTTTATTCATTGCAAGATATAAAGAATTAGAAAACATAAAATGATTGGAGAGGGGGGGGGGATTTAAATAATTATAAGAGAGAAGGGACTTCATCTCACCCCAAGACAGTCTGGCAATGTCTTTGTAATACACCGGAAAAAGCATTTCACAAGATAATTTACTCCTGCATACTAAGCTTGAACTATATCACTGAAGATGCTATGAATGGAGCCAGTATTTCATATATATAATGCTTACCTTCTGTTTTCAAAATCTCACTAAAACTTCTTTCATTAGTAAACAGTCTGATCAAAAACAAATCTTCCTATTCTTATAAAAATCTGTGTGATAGTAAAAACTTACTAAAAACCAAGCAAACTTGCATAGGAAATTAAGGAAATTGGTCTATGTTTTATGGCACTTCTTCACATGTAAGAGACAAACTCATCATACATGTTCATGAATATATATACCCACACATATACATAGCCACATCTCATGTGAATGACCTAAAAATCAATACTAAGTCAGAAACTAGAGCCAAAAATAATGTTTCCATATAGCTGAACATATATAAACAGAAGTCTTTGATGCAATTTTAATCAAGGTCACAAAAATGTATTGAATCAAGACTGCCAAAATATTTGAAGTTTTATGTTCAGAAGAGATTCCAAACTAAACTAATAACAATACACTTGTTATGAACCAAACATTCCCACTTGTTAGTTTTCAGACCAGAGAAACAATATTAGTTTTTCAGAAATAAAGATATTTATAGCTCATTTCTACATTCACAGTACCAGTGCCCAACAGCTACTACAAGAACTATACCAGTAATAAATAAGATTACAGATTCACAGTTTTTCTATCTAACATGTAAGATTTTAAAAATAAAACACAACAATGAGGTAGCTTTACAAATATACCGTTAATTAAATTTAGTAAGTTACACTATGTACAGGAAATCATTCATGCACTGAATAAATCATATGACACTGCAGTTATATCATAAACTATGGACCATATTTAATTTCTAAAGCCTTTCCATTTTCTATACCAGTTTATTATAAAAATCATAAGTATCAATTATCTACCAATATTATTATTATTATTATTACCAATTGGAAATGCAAATATACATTTCAAACACTTCTATTTTTTTTTAACTTCCATAGAAATTAAACTACCCTTAAGTGGCAGTTTTCTCAATTTGACAAGAAGTGTGAAGCTCAAAGAACTGTAGTTTTAGCTATTTCGATCATAAATTGTTAGTTCTCCACAATATATATAGAGCCTGAATCTAACTTTTGTAATATATTTTTGTGATAATAATGACATTTCATAAAATGAGGTAACAACAAATAAATATTATAAAAAGAAAACTGAAACACCAAGTGAACATACTGTTTTTATTTGCAACTTGGAAATTTCATTGAAAGGTGCATGAGAACTTTGTGCAATAAGCAACTGGAAAAGACTTACTGTTGTTTACTATTGGTATGAATTATCAACTGGCAGAAAAAAATGCCTGTCACTTGGATGGTCACTGGCTGAATACTAGAACCTACTGGCTTTTTGTAAGATATCCACTGTTAATTTGAGCCCTGATATGATAATCTAAAACAATTAAAATGATCTACACATAATAACATTTCAGCCTCACAATACTGATAAAAGTTTTACTCAATTTTCATTCTATAAATTTCTCTACATATGAACTAGGAAAAAAAAAGGTTGCCTAATAAACTCAATAAAGTAATTTAATGAATATGCAGACAGTACTATTTCAATGGTTTAATATGTAAAGCACCAACAAGGTATCACACACTGTAATATACTTTCTAATTTGGATCTAATAAATAATAAAACTATCAACCACATTAAAAAATGTCAAATCTGATTGATCTATGAATAAAGTCACTATTTTCTCTATGTTTCTCTGAATAATTACTAACTTGGCACATATCAGTGGAATCAGCCACAAATGTAATAGACAAAAAACTACAACTTCAAAGATCACTCCCTTTCCTGACTTCCACTACTTTTGGACTTTTGATGATTAAAGATGGAAAGATATGATGTATAGTCTGCATGTGGGTCCTCAGGTTGTCTTGCCAGTTGAAAAGTTTCTGACAGACTTGGCACTGGAACTGTTTTCTAACAGGTTTATGCATTAACATGTGTCGTCTTAAAGTGTAGTTGGTGGAATAAGTCTTAAAGCAGATTGGACACTGGATATCATCAGACTGAGAAAGAGCTGGGTTGGATGGTGGCTGTTTAAAAGTGCTATTCCTCATACTTTTAAAATTATGACCTACAATGAAGAAAGTTAAGTTATTCCACATTTATAAACAACTTTTATTGTGTCATATACTTCTTAAATTACCCACACACTCACATGGTAGAAAACATAAGAAAAAAAAAACAGTTCATGTTTATATCATCACTTTCTAAACATGTATAAAATTTTATGAAACATTTGTTTATTTTCTAGATTTAAAACTTCAACATACAATGAGCATCTGAAACAATTCAGTGTCTCTTTACAAACTAATAACCTCTGAAAATGTACTTGCAAAACAAGTTTAGAGAAAAGTAGTTATTTCCTTTTATCTGACAGTACAAGATATTCTTACATTTTTTCTGACAAATATTTTTTCTTTTATTTATCTAAGATCTATACAAACATACAAACTAACACTCAACCACAGAATCAAACAAGCAAGTTTAACTTATGTTTCTGATACTTAATAATTCAAATATTTAAAAAACAACCTGTATTTCTCTAATAACTGAAACATAGCCTACACATTTATAAACAAAAAATACAATATCATGAAAGCAAATAATCATATACCATTTTCAAAATTCTTGAATTTTGAAGTTACAAGTTAATATTACAACTTACAATATGGAAAGACAATACAAAATATTTTTAGAAATAGAAACTTGATATACATTCAATACAGATGTTAAAACATAAACAATTTGTTAAATTAAATGGTATAATACACATTCATTTATATTTCAATTTCAAAAGTATTTGTGTGTTTACTTATGACATAATTATCTTAAATTATGAACACTTGTCATAAGTTTAAACTAGAAAATTGAATAGCAAGAAGTTTACTGCTGCCTTTTTATTTAATCTTTGTGTTTTAGACTTGAAACTCAATATTAAAACTAGTAATATGTCAGTTGAAAACAATCTGCTTTGCAATTATGTGTATTTTTACTATTATTTTGAGATTAATACTTTTTTTCTATGTAAAGTAACCCTGGGGAACTCAGACAAAATGTGTTGGTATCTTAAAAAACACATATGCAGCTAAAAGTTGGTATATTTGAGAATCATATTTTCATTTCAGTGTGAAATGTTTGAATTGAAGTATAAATCTAAGTTCATCTACCATGAAACAGGATTCAAAATGTTTCTTCAAAAAAAACTCAACAATGCACAGAATTTTTTCCAACACTATGATAAGATACAAACTCACAGCAGCTGTTGTAGAAATATTCTGAATTTTCTACCACGACAGATATTTTATACCAAGTAACAACATAATATTAAGATTTTCCATTACAAAAGGATGTTTAGCCTTCAGTTTATATTTAATGAAAATAACTGTGTCTTTATTCAATCATTTTGATTTGAAAGCAACATTTCACATAAAGTTGGACCTTGGTATAAAATAATGCATATTTCATTCAATATGGCAGTCTCTCTCAAATTGAAATATACTTTGACAGATACTATTCTGATACATCAATCATATGAATAAATGGGTCAAAAGTACACTAATAACCTAATGCTAACAAGTCAAAAGACACAAGAGTTTTAATTTGAATATTACATATTATTTCAACATTACTAATGTTCACAGGATACCAACCTAATAAACCAGAGTATAATCAAATATTTCTGTAACAAAAAATAATTTTACTAAAATGCAACTGTTCATAGCTATGCTATTTTTTGTCATAACTTATCTGGAGGACTGTTGACCTCGATTTGGCAGTATTCCATGCACTGTTTTTTTGTGAGTATACACATTGTTTCTCCATAAGAAGGACTTGTTGCAGATGTTACAAAGGTAATGTCTCTTGTAAGGTCCATGATGACTCATATGTTGGGTGTAGTTTGTCTTGTTAGAGAAGGATTTTTTACAATGAGTACAGTAAAGTTCCAGAAACTTGCACTCCTTGGTACTGACAGATAATTTCCTTCTACACAGCAATGGCCCTGCTGATAAAAAAATTAAAATTAAACCTTTATATATTAAAGCTTGACTAAGTTAATTATCAAAATTATCCAAACTTAACAATTATGAACTGGTATATTTTTCTTTTTAAGAAACCCACTGAAATGCTACTCTTTAAGTGAATATAAAACAAAACCAATTCAGTGAGGTATTTATTATACACACACACATAAAAAAACTGAACAATGAAATTAACAAATAAGTAACTTAACATGATAATTTGTTACGGTGTGAATGTATTTATTACACACAAAAAACTGAGCAATGATATTAACGAATAAGTAACTTAACATGATAATTTGTTATGGTGTGAATGTATCTATTACACACAAAAACTGAGCAATGATATTAACGAATAAGTAACTTAACATGATAATTTGTTACGGTGTGAATGTATTTATTACACACAAAAACTGAGCAATGATATTAACAAATAAGTAACTTAACCTGATAATTTGTTATGGTGTGAATGTATCTATTACACACAAAAAACTGAGCAATGATATTAACAAATAAGTAACTTAACATGATAATTTGTTATGGTGTGAATGTGTTTTCTAAGTGGGCAGAATGAACATCACTTAAATCACATAAGGATTATCTAAGTTATTACATTTGACCACTACAAGTATATTCTATAAATCATTTGTATTAGGTCTCCTATACCTTTCAGTTTATATGCTTCATGTGTTACACCACAATTCATCCCCACAGTGACTTTGGTAAAGTTTTTTTATTCCTACACTAATACATCCTTAAACAGATACAAACATACATTCAGTATGAACATTTCCATTACAAAACATTATTTACAGATATAAAAAAAGTGATATTACAGATGAATGTTCATCAGTATCGAAACTATACTGAATCCACCCACAACTTTAAGCAAATAAAAAGCTCTTACTTTACAACATATACATACCTGTCAATATTCAAAATCAAACATCTTTTGTTTAGTATAGTAATTACTAAAAATATTATATACTTTTACAACACCATTTATATCAGCATATACACATCTTTTCAAGCAATTTTACTCTAAAGACAAATGACTCAAACTGAAAATACTAATGTGCAGATGTATGAAGCAACTGAAATTAAGTTTTTGTCAGAATCTGCATCTTTTCAATATCCCTAAAACCATTATATGAGCAAAAAACATTTTTACTTTTCTCACCAAAGCATCCAAAGTGACAAGTTCAAAATATTAGTTTTAACCTTGCAGTTTCAAACATGTAAAAGCTTTATGATTAAGAAAAAGTAAATTAAAGGATGAAATCACTTATAAACTACATGATGACGACACAGAAAAGGTGAGAAAACCATTCTCTTAAAAAATCACAGGAGGTAATAAAACATTTATGAATGTGTACTGATATCTTTCTATCTTTTGTTTGGTATCTTAAAATGTAGTAACTGTTTATCTGCATTGTGTAATCAAATTTAGCTTAAATAAATTGATCTGACATTCTTGTATGCTTCATTAGAGGATTTATAAAAATAATGCAGTCATCAAAGTTGCATCAATAAAGCTTATTCAATAACAGTTTATAAGTAACATTTTTCTATACCATCAGCCACTCAGTTACCACACAAATGAAAGTAATATTTTAGCCTAACATCATTTACATATAATTCTATATCATAGCATTTACTGTTAATCCAGAATTATTTGTATTACATTAAAACAACACAAACAGGCATAGTCACTTCAATATTCAATAAAACTCAGCAGATTTTCCAAAATAATCAGTTTTATGGATTTTTTTCAATAATCATTTTCCATTCCATTATAGTTTAAATGCACATATAAAAACTGCTTGCTCAAGAAGTTAAAACTGTACAAGTCAACTTGTGATCATTTTGTGTGATTTTAACAAGTTAATATAACTCCATTGTTTCAGTTGCCTTTGAAGAAGCTGATATATAATTTTCCTCAATACTTTGAATGCATGACAATGTAATACTATTTTCCTCAAAACTGCTGTAATCCCTGTACTAAATACAAAATATTTTAAGAATATATGTCAAACATATATATATACGGTTGCAGTTTTTTTGGCTGGTCTTCACATGTCCTAATTGCTTTTAATATAGTTCAAAGTTCATTTCAAGTAATATATTCTTTTAACAGTATACCTACTTATATACTGCAAACTTATTAAATTTCATAAGTATAGTATACAACATCAATAAAATCCATTTTCTACAACGAGAATCATAACACATGCCAGCATCTCCTTTTATGCTTCTTTTTCCTTAATCTTTTTTCCTTTCTTTTAATTACAGTATTAATTGTCTGAATTAAAGATTTTCAGTACACATAATATCGTTAATAATAAACCATTCAAGAAAACAGTATACATAATAACATCATTAATAAAGCTGTATCAATAAACTCAGGCATTCAACTTTGAATGTTCCAATAATCATTTCCATTTCATTTGACACATTACATTCTCAGCCAACCACTTTTATCCTTTCATCAAACCTTGGCTTTACTAGTCACACAACCTTTGGCAACAGTTACATCTAATTCTATTCTCTGTCTACAATTTTGTGTGTGTTCAGGAAAGGTAATCTAAGTGCTGTTTAGTTATAGTGTTTGTAAAATATTTTGGTAATTAATAATAAATTCAAACCAAGTTTTTGGTTAAACATTTTCAATGATTAAAAAAAATGCTATTCACAATACAAATGTTTAACAAAACTGAATGAGCATCAAACAAAATTAAACTGTTAGCCAAAAATTTTAAATCTGAAAAGCCTACAAAAGCTATAGACTAATTTTTTACAAACTTCCTAAAGTTTCTACAAGTCTAAGTTTACACTTATAACTAGATTTGTCATTAAATTCACTAATCTGTTAAATGATCCAGTTTAGTTCTAAGTTTAGGTCCAATCTCTGTAAAAGAAAAATTAAATCTTTGAGGTAAATAAATATCACACGTGTAGAGCAAATTAGGTGTATGAAGTTCAAACATTCTAATATAAAACTCCCTTTTTAGTCTTGTCTACTCTATTGTTCAAAAATAATCTAAGTACCCAGACCCATAAAACTTATAAAATTGCATATGCCATCTTCCATTTTTAATATAAGACTCATATTTTTCAACTCGAAAAGAACCTGCAAAAATGTTTGCATGAAACTGTTTCCAACAGATACCCTATTACAGTCAACCACACTTCAATATTTTTGATAAACATTTTTTTTATATTTCAATTGTTAAATTCTGATCACACTTTAACAGATTTCTTCTGTACTTTAATATTCATATGTTACAAAAAATAGTCAAAAATAATAACTTAAACATAATAAAAATCTCAAATATATTCACGGATGCCTTCAAATAACCACTTTCCTAGAGCTGTATCATTGTTTCTTTATCACAGAGCTCTAACTACATTTTTAACTAAAATTTATACCGCCTTCTACTGGTGTTCATTCCATGCCGTTTCAAAATGTTGTACAAAGTTGACAGTCCAATGTTAGTGATCTGTGGAAAAGTATCCCTATCTTCTCTGACAAAAGCCTGCAAATCCTTTAATGTTGCTCTGGCGTTTTGTAGTTTGTACTGCACTAACAATTCTTCTTGTTCAGCTGATAAGACAATAGCTTTACCAGCGCTTGTTTTAGACTTGCATGAAGTAAAGCTCGTTGGTTGAGACACATCAGTTGTAAGCAGATTATATTTCAGATGAAGAGACACAGCAGCCTTTACTGCATCTTCTGTCACATTTGCTTCTCTTGCCACAATTTTAGCATCATTACCATTAACAAAAAAACTATTGATTATCATTAAATATGTTTTTTCTGTCATTCCAATAGCTTTTGGAATATCATTAAATACTTCAGTAAAAGTCTTACTGGGATCCTGGACCTTAGGTTTGATTCTCCTGAAACCTAAACACAAAGAAAATGCCACAATGTTACATTTTTATAAATATAGTATTACAGAGTTTGATATTATACTAATGATACAATAAGAAATGTAACACAACAGTATACACCAAAAGTTGAGTATATAATCATTAGATTTCACATACTCTTATTTTCATCATAAAATTTCAAGTTGGGAAATTTAGCTATTTTATACTAGCTTTTGATGTAGCAATAATGTTGAAATGTAAATGTATTCACCAGTAACTATCATTATGTTTTATAAGTATAATTTTCAGCTGATTCAATATTTATAATTGACATGAAGATTTTTTGGTTATCACTAAAGATTTTGTAAAGTCTAGTCTTTTTAGTTCTAACAGGACTATACACATCTGTGGAACTTCTTGGCATTTTCAGTTATCTTCAGCAGTATTTCATTATACTATCATACGAGACCTTAGGAACATCTTCATTTCCAAGCTCACCGATTTCTCCATAACAAGGGCCTTTAGAAGAAACAGATGACTATTAATAATATAATTTGATCACCATAATATTATTGCTAATGAATATGAAACAATTCTTATAATCTTTAGAAACTAGAATTCAGAAGGTAATTATTTAGGGTGAAATATTCATTAATTATATTTTACTATACATCCATCTCACTTATGTTGTTAAGTGAAAGAAGCATTGTGGTAAATTGTTTGAAGTGATGAATTTTAATATTACAGAAAAAACATACATGGCACTTTTCTTTACGTTAAAATACTTTTAGTTGTGAGTTTTTGGCTTTCATTGTGCAAGATATTTTAATGTAAAGAAAAGCCCATGTATGATTAATTCTACATATTCATTTATCTACATCATGAGTCTTAAAAAAAATGAGGATCACTTTATTATGGATTAATGTGTGCCCTTCATTGATAGAATTTCTGTAAATATTTCTACGTCTTTGATAACCATGAATTCATCCGCAAAAACATATCAAGAAATTATACGTTGTAAAATTAAAGATCATCTCATCAAATGTGTATTTATATTCTGAAAAATTGATTTATCTTGACTCAAAATATTTTCACATGTACAACTTTCTTTGAGTGAAGGTATTCACTTAAGCAACACAAACACATCATTCAAAATGTAAAATCACTGCTAAGATATTCACACTGTAAGGATTAACAAAACTACATTTTTATGGGGTAAAAAAACTTCAAATAACATCAGTTATCATTATAAGTTGTTTCTTGTAACTCATGTAATTGAATTTTTTAATATTCAACAATTCTAACAACTTTTATTTTCATAAGCATTTCTTTTCATCACACCTTTTCTTACTCATTCACAAGATTTCATATATATATATATTGAAAAGTCAAGCTTTAACACTGTTTTACGAGTACAAACAGAACTGATGTTCTGTACAAAATCCCACAAAAATTAATTTTTTTTTAAATTCATTATTAGAGAAGCTAAGAAACATTATACACCATATTCTGATATATGATGAGGTAATAAATTGACAGAAATCTTACCTCATAACTTGATAACAGTCAGAGTGAGCAAAAACTTCTTGGCCTTGACCTATTTTTCTTAAGATCCGATTCCCTTGAAAAAGACATTGCAATTTGTGAGGGAATGAATCTGTTATACAGAATTAAAACATGCTAATCAAGTGATATAAAGTCATATTAGAATGAATAAACTGAGGCAAAGACAGCTACATTGATTAGACTTAGATCCAGCTGAATGCCCATGAAAGTCTGATTATTTGTTTTGTTGTTAAGCATAAAGCTACACAAGGGCCATTTGTGTCGTGCCCACCTCTGGTATCTTTTTTTAGTGTTATAAGCCTGCAGACTTAATGTTGAGCCAATGAGAGGAAGGGGCACTGTTTAAATAGGCAAAAGCACTATCACAAGCATAATAAATGGTGGGAAGCAGTACCATTTCCATAGACGAAATAGGATTCTAGAAATGTCATTGTGAACTCAATAAAATACAGACTCTGAATTTTTTTTTAATCATAACTAATACTTAAAATGTATTCCAGAATATCAAAACAGTTACAAAATATAACTATCTACTGCTCCACATTTTGACATCAAAGAAATATTTTTACATTTCAAGAAAAACTCAGATAATGATTTACTGTACTTATATATGATCTCCTCTTCATGTCACCATGAGGAAGTGTTACAGAAAGTACAGATGTCTATTTTAGGCATTCATTTAATATGAAAGAAACCAGTTAATCTTATACAGCAATTACTCATACTGAAAATTGTTATATTCTACAACTTACATCAAAAAGAGAATATATATATAATTTTTTTAATTAGTTTTGCCTTAACATTTTCCAGATAATGGGTAAATTTCAATGATGAAAATTACAATTCACACAGAGTATGTTTTTGAAATATTTATTTTTTGAGACAGCAAAAGCTATGTACGCCACAGTGATGAACATAAAATGAAGAATGTAGTCAGATAAACTAGAGTGGTGTACATAAACACAAGACACTTGAAAATACGTTAAATACATAGTGTAAAATGATAATAATACTCACACTTTAGAAAAGCATACATAACTTATGAACACTTTAAAGTTACATATGATCAGAATATTTCCTTCTTTTCTGAAAAAATGCCATAAAAATTAAACAGTGATGAACACAATAATGTGCATAAAATTGAGACAATAGACAGATTAGTGTACATAAATACAAGGTACTTTGATAACAAACTATATAGGTACTGTACAGGAAAGTAGGTAAAATGATAACACATTTACACTGAAGACCAAAAAGTGATGGGCACAATGACATACATACATATATATATAATTAAGATAGTATCAGACACACCAGATTGATGTACATATATGCAAGATACGTTGACAGCATGTTAGACATAAAGCAGAGTATGTAAAATGATGACAGGGTATGTACATATAGATTGAACTAATAAATGATGTATTTTATGTTCCACATATTAAATGATCTTTCAAGTAACATAATGGTTATTCTGGTAAAATATTAACTGTGTAAATAATTATGCAAATTATTCTGAAAAAAAGCACCATTTAAAAAAATCTTCATAACTTATAAGCACTTTAGTTATATATATTCAAAAAATTTGCTCCTTTTCTGAAAAAATTATACGAGTTTTAATGATATATTACATAATGTAAGAACAATGATTGGTATATGAATATTAGTGCATAATAGACATGACTTAAGACCTAAGCATATGAATATGTGATAATCAACAGATTAACATGTAAAAAGTATACACCAGGCTATATACACTAGTATCTTAACCACATTGCTTAACTTTTGACAAATAGGAACAGTCAAACAACTCCAGTTCATTAAATCCAACACCATTTTAATTCTAACACATAACACTTAATTAGCAGAAATACTTAAGATAGTATAATATTAATAAATAATAGAAATAAGCTCAGTAAACAGCAATGGTTCTATGTACAGCCTGTATGTTTTTAAAATGTTACTTATAAATTATTTGATAAACTGAGTATATATATGACTTTGCACTCCAAATGTGGCAAATATTGAAATAACATTACACTTATACTGTAAGTTACAGATCTACAATACGTTTTCAGGGTAGTACACTATTAATATTATTAAAAATACTTTCAAACAATATTAGTATTAATAATGTCCTTTTTACCCCAATTTTATCTCTACTCTCTGCAAATTACGAATGTCTTAACCGTCGCCGGTTACCTAGTCACTTTATATGTTAATTAACACCAATAATAGTAATTCAATATCACTAATATCAGATTTGCAATTTTTCAAGTATTTATTTTAACGTTATCACTTCCTATTTTTACAACAGGCTTTATTTTCAAAACGAGACCCAAAACTCGAGCGCTTTCGAATAGCTGACTATTCTTTTTCAGGAGAATAAAGGGCTTTATTTTAGCATTTCTAAGTTGTATCTAACGTATGATAAAGGTCAAAATAAAAAGACAGAATACTGTAAGTTAACATAATACATTTAATTAATATTTTACACAACACATCATTTGTCAAAAATGGAATCACTGAATCAGTCCAACCTAAGCCTAAATAAAGACTACGGCAGAAACTGTATAAAATGGCATGTGCTTAAAAATTACAATCAGGAGAAACTTGTTATTGTTAAGAGTTTTAACAACCGTGTTAATTAACTTTAGTAGTATAATAGAGAATGAAGAACCTACATCTTAAACGTTTCTCAACGTTTACTGCAAAGGCAATTCCAAGAAATACACTCACCATATACTTATAATTATATCAACATATGTCACCTATGCTGCACCATACCTCTATGTACTGTAACTTGTATTATACAAAGTGTGTTAAGCATCATTTCAAAGCTTTTATGCCAAAAGAATATAGTTCCATGTTTCATTGTGAGATGAACTTATTACAGCAGAAAAAAATTATTATGAAACACAATTGTTTCTAACATAATGGTAGTGATGTGTTCTACCTGATTTAGAAATTAAAAATTAAAAGTCTCGGGCAATTCGAGTAGCATATATATTTTTAGAAACATCACACAAAATTATTGTACATCTCTTTTTTTTTAACTCACAATTTTGAGTTTTGTCTTACCTAACAAAAAACTATTGTTATCGTGTATTTTTAATGTTTGACTATAGATGTTAGTTTGAGAGCACATGACGTTAAAGTAGACCTCCAATACTTAGAATGGTTTTGATTACGTCACGACAATCTGGTAACCTAAGTTAAACGAATATTAGTTATTAATTCAGGGTCAGTAATAAATACTGTTACGTCTCCGTTCGTTCGTTAATTTTCCGTAAATTCTTTCCGACAAAACTTTAAACGACATAAGTCCTTTCTTAATAAAACTGGTCTATTCTTTCCGAATACAACTTTACGATACACTTAATTTCAACAGTCGCTCTATAATCAAGCGCTATAACTCACGTCTCACGTCACCAACAATATTTTGTCCGCATACATTCAATTACTCAATCCCTCTGTTACGTTGTGACCATCTTATATATACCAGACTACCTCCAATCTAGTAGTCTCCCTATAATTC